TTCAGGATGGACTGGTTGGATCTCCGTGCAGTCCAAGGGACTCTCAAGAGTCTTTTCCAACACCACAGTTCAAAAGCATCAGTTCTTTGGTGCTCAGCATTCTTTATAGTCCAACTCTCACATCCATACATGACTACTGGAAAAACCATAGCTTTGACTAGATGGACCTTTGTTGGCAAAGTAATGTCTCTGCTTTTTAATATGCTATCTAGGTTGGTCATAACTTTTCTTCCAAGGAGTACGTGTCTTTTAATTTCATGGCTGCAGTCACCACTAGCAGTGATCATGGAGCCAAAAAAATAGTCTGTCACTGTTTCCATTGTTTTCCCATCTATTTGCCATGAAGTGATGGGACTGGATGCCATAATCTTAGTTTTCTGAATGTTGAGTTTTAAGCCAGCTTTTTCCCTCCTCTTTCACTTTCATCAAGAGGCTCTTTAGTTCTTCTTCACTTTCTGCCATAAGGGTGGTGTCATCTGTGTATCTGAGGTTATTGATATCTCTCCCAGCAATCTTGATTCCAGCTTGTGCTTCATTCAGCCCAGCATTTCTCATGATGTACTCTGCATGTAAGTTAAATAAGCAGGGTGACAATATACAGCCTTGACGTACTCCTTTTCCTATTTGGAACCAGTCCATTGTTCCATGTCCAGTTCTAACTCTTGCTTCTTGACCTGCACACAGATTTCTCAGGAGGCAGATCAGGTGGTCTGGTATTCCCATCTCTTTCAGAATTTTCCACAGTTAATTGTGATCCACACAGTCAAAGGCTTTGGCGTCGTCAGTAAAGCAGTAGATATTTTTCTGGAGCTCTCTTGCTTTTTTTATGATCCAGCGGATGTTCGCAATTTGATCTCTGGTTCCTCTGCCTTTTCTAAAACCAGTTTGAATATCTGGAAGTTCACGGTTCATGTATTGTTGAAGCCTGGCTTGGAGAATTTTGAGCATTACTTTGCTAGTGTGTGAGATGAGTGCAATTGTGCGGTAGTTTGAGCATTCTTTGGCACTCTTGTTTAGTAATGCTAATATGAACGTTGGGGTGTATATAACTTTTTTAATTTGTGTTTTTGTTTATTCCCAACCCAGGGAGTGGAATTGCTGGGTCACATGGTAGTTCTTTTTCAGTTTTGAGGAACTTCCATACTGTTCTCCCTGGTGGCTGCACCAGCTTACATTCCCACCAACAGTGTACAAGGATTCCCTTTTTTCTGCATACTCTCTGACACATTATTTATAGACTTTTGATGATAACTGTTCTAACAGGTATGAGGTGATGTCTCATTTTCATTTTGCATTTGTTATATTCATAAATTTTTTAATTTCTATTTGGGAATTTTTAATATTTTCTATCTTTGTTGCAATTCTTTTTTTCATGCATTGATCTTTTGACCTCGGTGAGCATTTTTACAACCATTATTTTGAACTCTCAGGTAAATCACTTTGTTCATTAGATCTGTTCTGGTTATTTATCATGGCACATCTGGAACATTACCTTTGTTTCTTTTTTATTGTCACTATGCATTATATAAAACAGCCACCTCTTCCAGTCTTGAATGGTCTCTTGTAGGAGATGAATCGTGTTGCTCAAATCCCAGCCTGAGCTCTTAATTGGCTTTCAACCTTTTGTGACTATTTTCTTTGAGCCTACTTCTTTGCTTTTAGTGACATATTTAGAGGATATGCTAAGACTTGTATATCCAAAGGTGGGGACTGCAGTTGGCACCTAGATGCAGGCTGATTAGACCCTGGACCCTGAGGCTGCAGCTGAGAGTATGTAGTTAAGCCCTGTGCAGGGAGAAAAGGAAATGGGCATTTTTTTTTTTAACCTGTTCCCTTTGTGCTGAGCACAGGGGTACAGTCACTAGCAGGTAGGGGTGGTGGTACCTGCATCCATTAAGAATTGTATTTTTGTTTGCTATAATGCTATAGAATTCACAAATGCAAGCCCCATTGGCTGTCATAGGCAGATAACCCAGGGACTATTCCTTGGGTATCAGACATAAAAGTTGGGGCACAGTATGTAAAAACTCCTTTCAGGGAGATGCTAGTGATTGGAGTGGGCTGGAAGGAGATGGGAGAGGTGTCCTTCAACTTCCCCAGTCTCTGGGGAAGACTGCAGTTGCCCCTAGCACCTGCTAGATTAGGAGCCGGATCTTAGGCAGCAGCTTTTAAAACATGTGGATAAGCCTTTTTTGGGGGAAGACAGGAATTGGACTATTCTACCTGCTCCCTCTGCACCTGGCCCAGAGCGGGTGGTCACAGTGAGCTGTGACCATCAAGAATGCTTATTTTCTATAGCTTTGTGGATCTCATAAACACATGCCCTGTTGACTTTCAGGGCTAAGGATTCTGGGAACCCGTACCTCAAGTGGGAGTCTTCCAAGTTAAGAGTACTAGAGGTGGAGTCCGAACCTGTCAGTGCTCAGAGAGAAGCTAAGAACTGGGAGTTCTCCTGATGCAGTGCTGTGCCAGGGTTGGGATGTATGGTGAGAGTGTATCTCAGCCTTTCCTACTGTTTGGGGATTTTCTCATTTGTTTAATACGTAAGAGCTGCTCAGCTAGCTTCTGGATCTGTTTTAGAGGGATCGTTCTCATGTAGGTGTGCATCTGGCGTATCCACGGGAGGAGGAAAGGGGCCCTAGAGCCTCCTCGGTCATCTTTACCTTGGGTGAATTACCACGGGTGATTGAGAAGGGCTTTATCTAGAAGGGCAGACAGACTCCTTGTCTGTCCCCTTTGAAGTTGAATCTGGTTTTGAAACTTGTGGCCATTATTGTTCATTTTAATTGTAAAGAGAGAAAGCTCTTCTGCACTTCTAGAAGCCTTCCTTATGAGTCATTTCTACGTTATTTTTTTAAATTTGTTTTTAATTGGAGAATAATTGCTTTACAATATTGTTTCTGCCGTACATCAACATGAGTCAGCCACAGGTATACATATGTCGCCCCTCTCTTGAACCCCCCCACCTCCCCCCGCATCCCACCCTTCTCGGCTGTCACGGAGCACTGGGTTGAGCTCCTTCTGTCACACAGCAAATCCCCACTGGCTAGTTATTTCACATACAGTAATGCTGCTCTCTCGATTCGTCCTGTCTCCTTCCCCTGCTGTGTCCACAAGCCTGTTCTCTCTGTCTCCATTGCTGCCCTGCAAATAGGTTTATCAGTACCATCTATCTAGATTCCATATATATGCATTGGTACACAATATTTTTCTCTTTCTGATTTACTTTACTCTGTATAATAGGCTCTAGGTTCATCCAGTCTCATTAGAACTGACTCAGATGTGTTCCTTTTTATGGCTAATATTCAATTGTATGTATGTACCACAGCTTCTTTATCCATTCATCTGTTGATGGACATCTAGGTTGCTTCTGTATCCTGGCTACTGTAAACAGTGCTGCAATGAACATCAGGGTGCTTGTGCCTTTTTCAATTATGGTTTCCTCAGGGTATATGCCCAGTAGTGGGATTGTTGGATCATATGGTAATTTTATTCTTAGTTTTTTAAGGAATCTCTGTACTGTTCTCTGTGCTGGCTGTACCAATTTACATTCCCACCAACAGTGTAGGAGGGTTCCCTTTTCTCCACACCCTCTCCAGCATTTATTGTTTGTAGCTTTTTTGATGACAGCCATTCTGACCAGTTTGAGGTGATAACTCATTGTGGTTTTGATTTGCATTTCTCTAATAAAGAGCAGTGTTGAGCATCTTTTCATGTTTGTTGGCCATCTGTATGTCTTCTTTAGAGAAATGCCTATTTAGGTCTTCTGCCTACTTTTTAATTGGGTTGTTTGTTTCTGGTATTGAGCTGCATCAGCTGCTTGTGATTAATCCTTTGTTTCATTTGCAATTATTTTCTCCCATTTGGAGGGTTGTCTTTTCACCTTGTTTATTGTTTCCTTTGCTGTGCAAAAGCTTTAAAGTTTAATTGGGTCCCGTTTATTTTTATTTCCATTACTCTAGAGGGATCTTGCTGTGATTTATGTCAGTGTTCTGCATATGTTTTCCTTTAGGAGCTTTATAGTTTCTGGACTTACATTTAGGTCTTTAATCCATTTTGAGTTTATCTTTGTCTATGGTGTTAGGAAGTGTTCTAATTTTATTCTTTTTACACCCAGTTGTCCAGGTTTCCTACCACCAGTTACTGTAGAGATTGTCTTTTCTCCATTGTTTATTCAAGTCTCCTTTATCAATGATAAGGTACCCATAAGTGTGTGGGTTTACCTCTGGGCTTTCTATCTTGTTCCATTGGTCTATATTTGTTTTTGTGCCAGTACCATACTGATTTCTACATTGCTGTATATTAAATACTATGTGTAACAAACTTACTGAAGAATATCAAAGCTACAAGTGAGAGGAATTAGGTGGTCATAGAGTTGTGAGACATAATCGGATTTATCATATTGAATACTGTGACTACTTGTGAGGAACATTTTGGCCCTTATCATGAACACTCCTGGATTAGAGTATCTGAGATAGGACTCAGAAATTTGCATTTTAACAAGCTTTCCGGGTGATTATTCTGTAGACTAAAGTTGGAGCTCCTGTTGTTCTCTGGAATGTTTCATTTCGCTATGTTGTTGACATCATTTGCTAGTTTTTGCACCTACTAGTTTATTCTCTTGCCGCGTCTTTTATGACTAGATGAACTTCACATCTAATTTGATATGCAATTCCTTAGCCACACTCCTTCCTCAGAGGAATATTGGTATTCTGATTCTACATACGAACAGCAGAAGCAACTACAGTGTCACTTTTTCTTTCCCGAAAATGTGGGGAGTCGGGGAAAGAGGGCATTAAGAAGCTGGTTTGTATTTTTCAAAAGTTCCTCTGGTGACTGATATAGAAGCTTTTGTATAGTTTTTTTTACAACTTTGTTGTTTATTGTGCTATTCTGTTTTTATACCAAATCACAAGTAGAATTGCTTTTCTTATAAATATCTTTAACAAATCAATTTTAATTTAGATTTTAGCATTAGTTATGGTTTCTTTTTCTAATAGGTGTCATCTTTAAGAAATGAAAAGCGAGGCTCATCATATCTCGTCTCTGCCCCAGAAGGTGGTTCAGTGGAATTTGCTGACCAGCATTCTCAGGGCACAGGAGCATATTACATGGAAACCTACTTAAAAAAGAAGAGAGTGTACTGAGTTAAGTTCTCTCCTTATAAACTCATAAGGTTCTTTGCAGTATCTCTGCTGTTCATCGCTGCCTTAACTACATTCAGACTAGCCATATCCTTTAAATTACGGGTTTATAACTTCCCAGAACGAACTGTGTTGTGCAGCAGGCAGAATTGCCAAATAAAAAAAGTAAGTAGCAATAAGAGACATCAATTGAGGACATATTCCACTAGAATTAGATGCATCTTAATCAATGTGCTATTAAATTACAGTCCATTGGAGAAATTAACATATCCTAATATTCCTTGTTTAGGACTGGGAATAATTTTGACACCATATATAGAAGTGTGAAGCAATAAAATGGGAAACATTCTTGGTTTCCCGAGCCTTAGAATAAATTTCTGATAAGCCAATGTACATTTCAATTTACTTTATCTGGAAGTAATCTCATTCACAAATTTTTAGACCTTTTCCTAGAATTAGAGTGCAAGTACAAAATGCAGTGACTGGTAATGTTATATTCTAATACAAACTTCATTATCACCCCCCTATACCAGTCATGCACTGTCAAACTCAAACACAGAGGTGACATCCAAGGTATATACCACTACAGATGCTTTATGCTTATATATTATTTACCACTAATACCTCTTGTGGGGGAAAAAGGTATTTTTTTAAGTAGCTTTGGTGATCTAGTAATAATATCAGGGGTTGGCAAACTGCTCCCTGTGGTCAAATTCAGTCCTCCACCTGTTTTTGTACTGCCTGCAAACTAAGAAAGACGTTTACATTTTAAAATGTTTGGAGGAAAAAAAAAAGTATGACTTGAAATTCATATTTCAGTGTCCATACATAAAATTTTATTCAAACACAGCCATGCTTATTCACTTACATATCATCTATGGCTAATTTTTGTGCTACAGTGGCAGAGCTGAGTAGCTGCAAAGCCTAAAATATTTACTATCTGGCCCTTTATAAAGTTCACAGACTCCTGATCTAATACCATTAATACCCTAATCCTTTTATTTTACCTCTACAAAAAATACCCTAATCCTTTTATTTTACATCTACAAAAAGACTTAAATTTTCCAACAGATTTGTAAGTAAGTGGCAAGAAACGTAGGTTTCTAAGTTTTGTAGAATAGTGATGATTAATTTACACGTTTTAGTCATCAAATGCCCTATTTCCACAGTAAAGCAGTCAATTCTGCCATTTCTAAAGGGGTCTTATGAGGTAACAGTATTTATAACCATTCTTAGATAATAAGCTATACCTCACTCTCTGCTTTGTTTCTTATTTGGTTGCAGTGTGTTAGGCTGAAAAATTATCAGGTGTTTAACCCAGTTTTATCCAGCTTCCTTTCGAAAGAACTGTTCATTGCACATAACTTTTGACATCACCATTTCCTGAAGACCTTGATATTCAAATTGCATGAGAAACCCTTTTGCTATCCAGAATGTCTAAGTTTGTTCTTTGTTATGAGACACTAATTCATGATGTGGAATTGAGGGGTCTCAGTGATCCTAGTCTTTTTGAAATCAGATCTTTAAGTATCTTGTATTTGAGGGACTTTATAATAGAGGGTATCGCTCCTGTTTTAGAAGTTTAAAACTGCTATATATGATTTGTAATGTATTGCTTATGTTAACTTCTGCTGGCAAATGACAGCTAGAAAGTTAAACTAAGATAATTTCTAGTAAGTATATGACCTATAAATAACCAATCAGGATGGGCATCACTCAGTTCTGACTCAGCAGATGAAAAATGGGTTCTCCACGCTCTGCACTTCTTGTTTTCCTGTTGCATTAAGCCTCTTCAGTGCTTTGTCATAACTCTATGACAGCAGAAGAAAGAGAAGATGGAAATTTTAGAAATACAAGCAGAAAGAGGTTGAAAGAACTAAAAGGTACTTTGAGTTAACAGGTGTGGGTCTGCCATCCATACTGGCCTGTGCCCCATTGGGACATAAGAGATAAGTGTGACTCAAGTTGTGTTAGTATAAGGACCATTACCCATGCTCTCCCCACCAGTCCATACTGTTATTTTTCTATGTAAACAAATTGTAATGCTTTGAAAATGAACTCTTAATATTAAAAGGCATATGCATGTGAAGTCTCCACATATTTATTTGTATAAAGAGTAAACAAAGTGCATAGAGAGTGACCACAGGTTTGACACAGACAGAGACATTTGTGCAGGGTTATTGAACAGATTTAAATGGCAAGTTTATTGTTGCCATTGAATCAATACACAACTACCTTTTCAGGTTTAAGGGGGAGAAATAATGATATCAAACAAATAATAGCATCAACAAAAAGTTTTGCAGACTCTTGGTCAAAAAAAATTTACAGTTCACATTGAATCAGATTTGACATTTTGATTACCCAGCAGTCTCTAGGCAAACTGAGAACCGCCTAGTAGATCCTGAACTCCATAGTCTTCTGGCTGGGTCTTTCAAGTTTTGCGCCATAGGGTGATGGTCAAAATAGTGATCGACTCTTGTAGATGGATGGTTAAGTACTGAAACACTCTAAGAACAGTGCAATGTACGTGGTATATATGCAATCAGCATCCAGAACCAATGCTGGAACAGCCTGCCCCAAAGTGGTAGAGTTACAAAAGGATATACACGGACATTTCTGAAAAGCATGTATCCAGGTTCTTGGCCTCGGTTCTGATTAAAGGTATACTGTTTAGGGAAGCACTGGCACAGGTTTAGTTCTCGAGAATTAACATCATGCAGCAAAGTATCTATTCCACAGCTGCCCCTCCAGGTACGTACGACCCATCTTGTCAAACATGGGTACCGCTCGTCACCCAAGGGGACAGGAGCTAAGCCACTGCAGAAACAACTCAAAGTTCATGTCCTACTGTTGACAGGAATACACTCATCTTTGTATAGAGACAATAGTATACTAACTGGTATCTATATTTCAAGAATGTTTCATCTATCATGGTATAGATATTGAAATTTGAGGGCATAGTAGAGTACTGGCTAAATTCATCAATCCTTATCTTTATATGCCAGAAAAATATTTCATATCAACTGGCAGCTAAGAAAAAGCAATCATCTTGAGACTCTGGTCAGCTCCTCTTGTTTTGAGAAATCCCATTCTGGTACTCAACTGTGATGGTAAACTAGCCAGACACTAATATATTCTTTCCAAAAGGAGGAGTGCTTAAGTGCTTTCTAATATTTTGGTTGTCACTATGTTACTGGTATCAAATTTAAAGAGGAAGTACTTATACATATTAAGCATCATAGTGTGCCTTATATATGGATACGTACCCTGGTATCTTTTTAGAGAGAATACAAACTTTTTCCAGTAACACATTTTTTTAAATGGCTTGGGTACTTGTTGGGGGTAGGAGGACTTGATACACATTAGAATTTAAATGTTACTCATGCTTCTTAGAAGTGCTTCAAATCCTTCGATAAGGTTCTGAAAGGTTGTCCGATTAGATGGTTGAAATTCCCAACACTTTCGCATATGTTGATAAACCTATTAAAAAAAAAACAGTAAAAATGTTTAGGAGCTTTTTTTTTGCTCTTTTTTTAAGTATAGAAACATCAAGAGGAAGAACATAATTTTGAAAATGTGAATGAGTTTCCTTAAGTCATAAGATAAATCGAGTATTTGAATAACTTAAAATATAGAAAATGTGTAAGTACATCTGTAAGTATTAAATATTATTCGTAAGTATTTTATTATTTGAGAAGCTCATGCCTTAACTGACCTTGCAAAAAAACCAGGTCACAAATTACTGTAAGCCAATTTAAGGGTGACGTTATAGCTCAGTTTAGACTACAAATTTCCTTACTGGCTGCTTCATTCTTTGGCTCATACATACTATTCAGTGTACTTAAATAGTCTAAAGAATTAGTCGTAAAGCAGTTCAGTTAGAAATACAGAAAACTGATTGTCACAATAAGGTAACACCAAAATATGTTCCTCAAGGTGCTCACTGAGGTAAGCCTACTATTGAAGGCAATCTCTTCCTTTGAACATAATGTGTGGTTGTCATTTGCCCCAAAGATGGTTTTCTCAGATATCCAAAATTCAGCGTCAGAAAACTATTTTAAAATGCAAGCAGTGAAAACAGTTTTATTACTGTGAAATGGCCCATAAATACCTCATCTGGACAGTTAGGTGGACACGGCAAGCGTTTTCCTTCTTTTAATGTATTCACGAGTCTTGTTACCGTCATCTGGCCATGAGTTGGGCCTATCATTTTCAGGAACAACTATGAAAAATAAAATCAAATGAAATATTTTAATTTTTGCACATATTTATATAAACTCCAGAGAGGTTAAGGTAGAATTTCTAGAATTGGAAATGAAAACAAACAGGCTTTTCTCCTTAGTAACTTAAAGTGAAAGTCCAAGACAGTTTTCCTTTCCATTACAACACACTGACCGAGTCTTTATGAACAAAACTTACAAAGCAGAGGGATGGACACATTTTCATTGGGGGCCAGATTCAAGCAAAGGACAAGTATGACTTACGGTCATGGGGCTGGAATCTGAATCACAGTAAGTAAGCAGCTCATGCAGAGTCACTCCGAAAGACCAGACATCAGAGGCGATATAAAACTTACACTGAATTAAACATTCTGGAGCATACCTGAAAGAGAGCAGAACATGAAACTTCATTTTCTGGAAAGGACATACCAAAAAACATTAGAGTAACTCAGCCCAGAGAGCTGACTTGTCTTAGAATATAACATTCGAAGACACTTAAGTGTATATTATATGTTAGTCACACACATGCTGCCCTGGTGCACACCTGATGTGAACAATATCCCTGTGGGCCCTCAATTCACACAGCACAGGCTCTCCCTGGGGAGGGGTGTGGGAGGAGGTGATGACCACAGGCCCAGATTTTATCTGCCTGCAAGCTCACAGTGAGTGAGTAGTGACCTAAATGCCCGGTCCTCTTACAGTATCTGCTGTTTTGGTGAAGGTTATCCATTGCCTAAGCCAGAAATTGAGGCATTCCCATATCCGGTCTCAGAAATACTTCTCAGACCTACTCACTGCTCCTAAACCCCACCATCACTGTCCAAATCACAGCCCGAGTTCATGCCATCACTGCCCCCGGCCAAATCAGACTCCAGGTTCCGATCTTGCTCCTCTCCTTCCCACAGTGATCTTTTTAAACAGAAGCCCCCATCCTTAATCCTCCCAACAGCACCCCAAAACCCCAGCTCCAAAACTCAAGTGTCTAGGGCACTGCCTTAGCAACTGCAGAGACCTTTCATCATCCAGACACGTTGAGCTGATTCCAGTTCCTGGGCCAGCCACTGCTCTGTCTCACTCTTGCCATCACACACATGCCTTCTACCCATCTTTACAACCCTCCAGGAATCTTTTAAGGACTTAACCTAACAGAACTTCCAGAAAAGCAAGCCCGAATGCTTCTATGGTTATGGCACCATGAAACTAGCTGCCTCACCCATTAAATTCTAAATTTGGTTATCTTATTTACCCTCGAATCTCTAGTACCTGGCACAAAGCAGGGGCTTCACAGGTATTCCTTTGAATAAATGAATTCATTTATCCAGTGAATATGCAATGAATAAATGGAAGTTTGGGTTCACTGGGTGGGAGAGACCCACCTCTGCCCATGCAGGATGCACCTTGCAGGGCTGGTCAGTTCTACAGGACAGGGTAGAGTGGAGACTTGGCAGCTTCCCCCTTGGACAGTGTTCCAGACAGAGGGGTCAAAGGCGGGATGTGGCCTTCCAACTAGGACACTAGCGATTCATGAGAAGATAGCCAAACCTCCCATGGATTTTCCTCTGCTCTGTCCGAGTTCTCCCTGAACCTGCCAAAGCCTCCTCCTCACCTCATACTTGCCCTCTAGGCTTCCTCTGCATGACTGTGACTACTCTGGCTGCTAATGGTTTTGTTGTTTTTTTTTTTTTTAATATGGAACGCTTCATGAATTTGCGTGTCATCCTTGCGCAGGGGCCATGCTAATCTTCTCTGTATCGTTCCAATTTTAGTATATGTGCTGCCGAAGCGAGCACTGCTAATGGTTTTAAGAACTGTGTCAGAGGAATGCCTTCTCAAGGGAAGACAGAGATGCTGAGTGCTGTTGGATTTCTTCGTTGGAAGATGTTGTCAATGAAGCTCAGACATTGCCGTCTGTGTGGCTTTCAGTGAAACGGCTTAAGAGCTGTTTCTTGAAGGCAAAAATTAGTCAATTCCAAATGATCTAAGTCTCTTCTAACCTGGACTAATAAGAGAATTTAACATATCTAAAAAGGACCTATCAGAACAGGGGAAGCCCTTTGAAGCACGGAGGAAATCTGTGTGATTCAGTTACCAGAACACAGGGCTGTCCCGGTCGTCCTTGACTGTGTAGTACTCCTTATCAGTCTCGATGGCTTTGGTTAGACCAAAGTCCCCAATTTTCACTTGGTGTTCACTCTCAACAAGGACGTTTCTTGCTGCTAAGTCCCGGTGAACATATTGCCGAGAACCCAAATAGTCCATCCCCTGAGGGAGAGAAACAAAGGCAGAGTGTGCTGCTGAGATCAGATCAGACTGGACAAACAGAGATACAACTGTCATTTCATTCACGTATCACTTTTTTTGTTGTTTTTACTTTTATGCAAAAATATAAGACCAACTTGATTCAAAGAAATACATATTAAAGAAACCATCACTTTCTTAGTAGAGGCTAATTTCAATCCACATCAAGCAGAACAAAATAAACTCAGTATAATTATCGGAAAGTTTCCCACTTGCAGCCTAATTACAAACCAATTACTGAGGGCAGAGTGCCTGAGTTTTAAATTTTTACCAGGTTTTTTCTTTTTTCCCTTTTTACCTTGCAAATCTGAACAGCATATTTTAACTGCTGTTTGAGGTTAATTTTGTTCTTATTCTTTGGAAGATATTCCTTAAGGCTCCCTGAAGGCAGAAACTCCATGATGAGCTTAATACCATTTCCACCTGTTTGGGGGGGGGAAAAACCATTAGCTGTTGTTCAGTTGCCAAGTCATGTCCGACTCTTTACAACCCCATGGATTGCAGCGCATCAGGCTTCCCCGCCCCTCACTATCTCCCAGAGTTTGTCCAAGTTCATGTCCACTGAATTAGT